GACCGCATCATTGACCCTCTTGAGCTCTTGGTAAGCTCTTGCAAGCCATGAAAGAGTATTGACGGCGTCGATATGACGTTCTCCTTGAACTGATTTTCTTTGTTCAAGTTCTTTCTCTCTCAGACTTGCTGCCTCCTCATGTCGGCCTTGTTCATGGTAGGCCCGTGCAAGCCAGCCAAGAGAATTGATCGTATCGATATGCCGCTCCCCTTGAACTTCGCACCGGACCTCCCATTCTTCTTTTCGTAGTTCTCCAGCTTCCTTGTGCCTTTTAAGGTCATGGTACGCTCGTGCCAGCCAGCTCTTTGCATTGAGAGTTTCAACGTGTTTGTCTCCCAGTAGAGCAGTTCTACCAACCAAAAGCTGTTTGGCAAGTTCTTCGTGTTTTTGATACTCTCCCAGGCTGTGTAATGCGCTTACAAGCCAGGATATGGCATCATGAACTGCTGTATTTTGCTCGCCCACAACTTCCTTTCGGCACTCAATCTCCTCCTCTCGGAGTCGCTTTGCGTCAGCAAATTTGCCTGTGTCATGATACACCCGCGCAAGCCAATCCATCCAGCTCACAGTGTCGTCATCTCGAGGGCCGCTGATTTCTTTTCGAAGGATCAGTGCCTGTTCGCCTAGTTTTTCGGCTTCGGCGTATTTTCGTTGATTATAATATGCCCTGCACATCCACTCCATGGTCTTGACGGTCTCGACATGCTTGACTCCAAGCTGTTTGGTTTCCAGTTGTAAGACTTCTTTTTGGATGGCTTCCGCTTTATCGTAATCGTCGCAATCTGTATAGCAATTGGCTAAGCTGACCATTACATCGATGGTCCACGGGTGAGCTGGGCCCAAACCTTTGGCTCTAATTTCACGGGCTGATATCAGAAGTGGCTCTTCGTCCGAATATCGCTTCAAACGATGATAGGTTTGACCTAGATAGGCCATGGCATCTGCTGTATCCTGATGATCCATTCCATGCTTTTCTTTGCGGACTTTCAAGACCTCCTCTCGAAGGGCCAAGGCCTCTTCAAGCCGGTTGTCATCATCTTCAATAGTCGACGCAAGATTCGACACGGCCTCGATGGTGATGAGATCCTCCCTGCCGAGAATGGCTTCACGAGTAGCCACAACCTCCCGCTCCATTTCTTCCATCTTCTTGTCATCGTCGATCATACCATATGCATCGGCCAAGTCTAGCCTTGCACTGGTTGCACGCACAGACTCTTTTCCAGCTACCTTCTCCACCTCATCGCAAATATCCTTTGTCAATTGGAAGAGCATGTCCGCTTTGCCATCATATCGGATGATACGGGCAAACGCAGACCGATCATTGACATGTAACTTATCCCATATGGAAGAGAGGGAGTAGATATGGGGTGACAGATAGTCGAATAAGGAGACATGGACCCAATCGGTCCCACAAGCTATAAGCCGGACCGCGGCCGCTTGATACATTTTTTCTTCCTTTTCCGTTAGTCTATCATAGGCCCAAGAGTGAACTAGAGGATGGAAGCGAAGGGTAGCAATAGTGGCCGAGGCGACAACTACCACAAGCGAGTATTGCTGAAGCTCCTCCAGAAGGTCCGTAATCTGATCATTATCCCATTCACCGTCCGGACAAAATGTCTCCTTCAGAAGGGAGATTGTCTCTTGGTGTTCTGATGGCCGATCTAGGAGATCATTGATTTCAAATGCGAAGCCTCCTTTAGCAGCTGCGCCAATCAAGGGGAGTGGGAAGTTGGTAAAGTGGACAGTGGAAAGGATTCGCAGAAAGTCGCGAGCACGGGAAGAGAGCACTTCAAGAGTGACATCAAAGGCTGCATAGACGCTGTGGCGGTACCGGAGTTTGTCTCTATGAGTGCGAGTGGGTCGTTCGAGGAGCTTGCGTCGATTGGCTTTGAGGCGGTTTGCATAGTCATGCAAACACTTCTGTTGTCTAATATAGCATCCAGCTTGAGTGATGGCGACGGGAAGATAACCCAATTGCTCGACGATTACCGAAGCCTCCTTTTTGTCCTCCTCGGTAGGACTCTCTCCTTGTGTAAATGCTGTTATGAGAAGTGTTTCGACAGCCTCTTCTGGGGACATGACATCAAGTTCGAGATGTCTTCGGGATGATAGATCCCCAAGCATCAAGTTTCTGGTTGTGATCAAAATAGAGCCATGCTCGCATGTAGGAAAGTAGTCCCTGAGGTCAATATTCGGGTCGTCCGCGTTGTCGAAGATGATAAGCCAGTCCTGGGTGATGACTTGATCTGGTTCGGCTAGAATATCGAGGGCATCGTTGACTGATGAACACTCGTATTCACGACCCAGAGAACTGACATGGGTAACCAGTGCAGTTTCAATGTTCTCGGTGGTACTAGCGTCGACGAAGAAGATGTGCTGATATCTAGGAGAAATGTTTTAGTAATGTTGTGTCATCTCTTGAAACTGCGTACCGATGTTCATAATCCCTGGCGAATTTGAGAGCCATCTGGGTCTTGCCGCTACCGCCGAGACCGGACAAGACGACAATCCTCTGACTGTCTTCTTCAGTTTCGAGCAACATTTCTACAAGGAACTTCATAGGCTCTTCTCTCATAATGAAGAAGGACGATAAAGGTGGTAGGCCATGTGAAGACCTGAGGCCTCTTGATCGTGATCTGCCTTTGAGTGATATTTGATTAGAATGAGATATATTGAGTTCGTCAGAGACATACTGATCGTTTCCAGGCTAATGGTGCTTGGCCGCTCTGCCGAAGCAATAGCCTTGTCAAGGTAGTTGCTCGTAGTGTTCTCTAACAGATACCCAGTCGTGTGTGCGATAATTTCTCCAAATTTTGTACTGACACCATTACGCTGAGCCGCAAGGTCATCAAAATCCAACCCTCGAGTGACTGAGAAACGAAAATAGACACCGAGGTTCCCGATACGCCTGGAGGCCTCCTCAGCGATGCTCTCTCCATCTGTCGTCAGTTGTTCTAGGATGGACATAGGGTTGTTCGATTCATTCTTTCCCGTCTCTGGGGAATCCTCTCTAGGTGCTCCTGCGGCTCCACCAGCGCCACTGGCACCTGCTCCGAATGACTTGATAATGCCCTTGCCTGCTCCAAGGCTCAGCAGACACGAAAGGTATGCATTAGACCCGAACACATCTAATGCTTCCTTCAACACTTCGAGAGTTGGATTGTTGTATCCATGTACAGCACTGACGATCTCTTCTTCTCTATATAGTGGGCCAATGCGAACAGGAGGGAATAGATTAGGAGTAGCCCATGCTGTGCGGACCGTCTCAACTACGGTTGGTTTGTAGTTGATTAGGGTGTTGCGGACAGGGTAGGAACGAAGGAGACGGCATTGGCCAAGATGGCTCGTTGACATGTAGCACACGGCTCTAGAATGAAATCAAAACTCGTGTTTTGGGTGTTTTGGGGTTAAATGCGCACACTTTGCATGGCCCATGGACTAGATTTCGATCGTCTTGGAGTTTGAGGTCCAGTGGCAGCTTTCGTTCTTCAAGCAACTCCTTCGTAACTGTTTCTAACATGGTAGCCCTCGCTGATGGTGTACAACCTTCTTTGGGGAAAACGGTATTGCAGATGCGAATGAACGCTTCAATCGCCTCTTCGACATCAAGTCCGAATATGGTCAAAAGGATGGCAACAACTCTGTTGAGGTAAGATTTTTTCAGTTTAAAAATCTATGATTGCCCTCGCGAGTGCAACACCACTGACCCACCAGCGCCTGTTCCAACGATCAACTGAAAATAATCACAGGGACGCTGCTCGACACCCGTATCGACGTGCAAGCGATGCATAAACTCCCCAAGGATACGTAGTTGAGATAAGCAACGTGTCTCGCCACCATCTTCAAGGTCATATAGGGAGGTGGTGCGCAGGAAGGAGGACAAAGAAAGGGTCAAAATGAAGTAAGTGAAGATATACGATAGAACATACCAAGACTGAGTATTCGCAACTTCTCGGGCCCAATAGACCTCATGATGCTCGAATCGAAGAGGGTCTAGCTATTGCTTGGTCAAGGTCGTTCTCTCGATTATATGCGGCTCAAGGTTGATAAAAGCTAGCGTATAACGAGCGAGCCTCCCAGCTCCTTCAACGCGAAATGGAACGAGGTCAAGTTTTTGTTCAAGAATAATCCCAGGTAGCGGTCAAGCGTGGTTAGGATATTGAGCGCCTGTGCTGGGATGGTCGCTGGGCTCCATTCGTTGGCGTCGAAAATGGTCAAAAGTCGCACGCTTTACCACCTTACTACCATCACAAACTTATATTGAACATATATCTAATAAACGGGATCTTTTCAATAATTTATAAATACTACAATCAACTATCCGAATGCCGATTCATGAGGCACAATCAAACTTGAGATACAGTATATATCCATAGATA